CGGTCTAAGGTGCTTTTGGGATTGATCACCTCTTGCTCTCTCTCGCTCTCTCTCTCCCTCGCGCATATTAATGAATTGAGTTGACAATATCTTTGAGAATACACGATGGTAAAAGGTCGGAAGACCAAAGTTTTTTTTTTCTGAACTACCACTGGTTGTGAATTGTGCTAAAATAACGTTGCCTTATCTTCTCTGAAAAGCTTTCCACACAGTCAGATGACATAAACCACACTTTCAATAAACAAACAAAAAATCTATCTATCTAGTGATGAAATGTTTTCTGTGTTGAGACGAATCTTGTGCGATGTCCTAAACTGTCTGGATAATCACACGTGTGCCGTGGTCCGTTAATGACACGTCCGGTTCGCCAACTAATGACTCCTTTGAACCGATTCACTTTAATGAATGGTTAAAACAACTGATCTGTCCAACACTGAACTCAAGAGACATAAATCGGAAACACTTTACAATAAGGTTCCATTTGTTAAAGTCTAGTTAACTACATTAGTTAAGATTCTATTAAAGATTGTTTTTCACTTGGATCTATTTTTATTACCACAAATTTTTATCCAATTAATCAATGGAATAATCAATACTCGATTACTAAAATAATCGATAGCTACAGCCCTAGATTAGATGCATAAAAAATTTGTCTTACAAGTGCGTTTTAATGACAAAAACTTTGACAAACGTCTTGAAATACATCACCTGAACAATGTTTCGAAGTGTGGTAACTGTAGTCTAAGCGGAATAATTGACTCCGGCCTGTTGAATTATTAAAAAAATAATGCACACCCGGTGTGTAACTCAGTCGAACCAAAAATGATTTGCTCCGCTTCGCGTCGTGACCGCATTACCACCTCAGGTGTGCATTATTTTTCTAATAGCCTAATTCAATGGCCCGTCGTCAATTATTCCTTACTAATTGCAGAAAAGACTACAGTTCCTGTTATTTACAGCCAAATAATAGATTACAAGACCCATATGACTCATACCCTGTCGGTTTATAAGAAAAATGAGACGACTTGCTTGTTTGCTGTTGTCGTACTGTGACTTGGGTCGAAAAGATTTGGTTACTAAAAGCTTTAAAAAGCAAACAGTGCTTAACTTTATTTATTTATCTTTTTGAATTGAATTTGAAAAATACAAAACAATTCAGTATGTTGTCAATACATTTAACAAACAATGTTAATCCACACAAGGCTGCAATAACTACATTAAAACAATAAATGAAAATAAAAGGGCTATACCCTTTTATTAAATTCATTTTGGAGGGCTGTAGAAATATGAAAGGAGTAAATACACACGTAATTGAATAAGTAGGCAGAATTAATCATCACATAAGTACACTATTGCACTCCTGCTACTGATAATAAACTGATTCACGATATATAGGGCGCTAATGAGACGCATGTTTTACTGTTACTCGAGTAACGTTATAGATGCGTTTCCCTCTTAAACATAACGTGTTAGATAAAGTACACGGATAAAAAACTCATGTGTTTTACAGTTCTTGTAAGAATTATCGGAAAGGTTTGCATAGATTGAATTCTTAAAAAGATTTAAAGCACAAACCTTTCTTCACCGAATCACAACAGTGCAGCAGCGCGACGCAGCCTTGTGACGTCACACCAGCATATCAAAATAAAAGTCCCGTTCACACGCTATCACAAAAGCGCATAGAAACTTACATGCATAAAAAATAGAAATAATAAAATTATGTCAGAGGATTGCATATTTAAACATGTTGTCACATTGATGTGCTGAAAATATAAACACTGCCAATGAAAGAGTTGTACCACATCTAATATGTGGGATTAAAAGGCAAAACTGTACAAAAACAAGGGCCACAGACTACTTTAAGACCACAAAGAAAAATAAATATGTAACAAACGATACGCAATATGTTGCAGTATGTTATTTGAGTAATTCCTGACGCATCATTATAGCTACTTCTTTGTGGCAAAGGCAAAAACAACATCATTACTCGTCAGCATTTTTATGAGGTGGAGTGGTGGAGGAAGTACTGAATATCAGTACTTAAGTAAAAGTACAAATAACCAGAGACATATTTACTTTAGTAAAAGTAGAAGTACCACAATGACAACCCTACTTAAGTAAAAAAGTACCTGATTTTAAATGTACTTTAAGTAGTAAAAGTAAAAGTACTTGCATAACAATTTATTCTCTTAATGTCTATATTCTAACAATAATAAAAAAAAACAGTATGGGCTGTGGCATTTTAACTGCTCTCTGCCAGGCTTTCCATCTTGCAATTTAAAGAGCCAATGACTTACCCAGTTTCAGTAAGTCCTCATTGCTTGTCCAGGATGTCCGAAACTTCGGAAGTAAAATTGCAGCAGCAATGAGTTCGGGGTCGGAAAGCACGGGTCCAAACCGCTGCTGTATTTCTTCTCAAAGGGCAAAGATCAGTGGCTCGCAGAACTTAGATGAGGTTAGGAGGCGGTCAAGCTTCACATTTAGGAGGGTAATCGTGGACACCGCACCAGCCATCCCATATGGACATTCACCTCATGAATCAGAGTATGAGCCCGATTGGCCCATAGGTGGCGCTACAGCAACCAAAAGTACTAAATTGCTCATAACTCCTAGACTGTTTGACTCAGCCTCAAGGTTTTTACACCACTGTGATCCTTGGCTCAAGACGGACAAGATGCGGAAAAAATTCTCCGCTATGTCAAATTTTGTCCAAAACCTACTTTTGCAGACTAGTCCCTAGTTTTTCTCCGATCGGAACCAGCCCAGTCTAGGACAATTATCTGGACTCTCTAGATCAATAATTATCGAAAAAAAGTTTAACTTTGCACTTTTGTTCACTATAACAGGGTCATTTAGAAAATGGGTGTGTCAAAATACACTCAAAAGCCTATAAATCATAAATGAAAACTCAGAACTTGACAAAAATTGATGAACATATGTGTCGTACCATGGTGAAGAAGCATGCAAAGTTTCACGGAGATCGGACCATAGGTGGCGCTATAACTGTTAAAAAGCTTTAAAACCAGCTTTAAGCTTAAAGTTTTAAACTTCATTGTTTAAAGTAACAATTGTAAGTGTGGGGGGTTGCTTGACATGGGTTTAAGATGCCCTTCGTTTAATGTATTTTTTAAGGTCTTGTTTGTATTTCTTAAAGTCTATTTATTGTGTGTAGTGTGTTCTGTGTAGCTTGTTAGCTGTTTTTCTTTGTTTTAATGTTTATCATTTATGGTGACTCAACGAGCTCTGCTACAAAAATTCCTATGTACCTGTATAGCTGTACAAATGGCAAATAAAGCTTTAACCTTAACCTTAACCTAACCATACATTTCCTATGGTAAATTGCCTGTATTGGCTGTAAATGGTGTTTTCCATCTATTATGTCAGTGGTTAAATTTATGCTAAATACAACTTAATGTCTTTTGATGCTTTTGTGCTTAACGGCCTTAAAGGGATACTCCACTTTTTTTGGAAATAGGCTCATTTTACAACTCCCCCAGAGTTAAACTGTTGAGTTTTACCGTTTTTGAATCCATTCAGCCGATCTCCGGTTCTGGCGGTACCACTTTTAGCATAGCTTAGCATACATCATTGAGGTGGACAAGACCATTAGCATTTCTCAAAAAAAAATGACCAAAGAGTTTCGATATTTTTCCTATTTAAAACTTGACTCTTCTGTAGTTACATCGTGCACTAAGACCGACGGAAAATGTAAAGTTGCGATTTTCTAGGCTGATATGGCTAGGAACTATCCTCTCATTCCTGCGTAATAATCAAGAAACTTTACTGCCGTACCATGAGTCCAGCAGGCGTAATGATATGACGCAGCGCCTGAAAATAGTCCCCAGCTCGGTAACTTCCAACGTGACCGGGACTAAGTGCCTGCGCCTGCTGCACTCATGGTACGGCAGTGAAGTTTCTTGATTATTACGCAGGAATGAGAGTATAGTTCCTAGCCATATCAGCCTAGAAAATCGCAACTTTACATTTTCCGTCGGTCTTAGTGCACGATGTAACTACAGAAGAGTCAAGTTTTAAATAGGAAAAATATCGAAACTCTTTGGTCATTTTTTTTTGAGAAAAAAAACAAAGTCATATGAGACACAGACATATTTTAAACGTATAAATACTGGGAACTATATTCTCTGAAGGCGAAGCACTGCTACTTGGGTGGAGTGATAACCGCAGCACCTGAGACGCGCCGTGGTGAGGAGCAGAGTTTAGAGTTTGCGTAACCGAGTCATCAGTTTATAAATAGTAAAAGCATACTTTACCATAATGGGTTTTCGCTGTATTGTAAAGAGCTGCGACAATAAACAGGGGAGACCAGGTAATACCATGATGTTTCACAGAATTCCAACTAAAAACGCTGACCGGATGAAGAAATGGCTAATTGCTCTGGATATTGATCCAAACACACCTAAAGAAATTATCAAGGGACATTATGTTTGCTCGTTACATTTCACGGAGGACGACTATTTAAAAAAAATGGAATTTGCCACAAGAACCATGAAACGTGTGCTGAATGATACGGCCATCCCATCAATATCACATACAGGACAAAGTGGAGCGGCTCCGGTAAGTGTTCCGTTATATTTCTAGATGTTTAGCCTAACGTTACTGTAACAGTGCCATTAGCTAACTTAGATCTAATGTAACGTTAGTGACACTATTATATTTCAATTGGGTGGTAACTACTATTGCAGTTGTTTACAGACTCCATGTATCCCCTGTAGCTGCTAATGTTAGTATTGTTGCCTCGAACGCGCTCTGTCGTCCCAGTAACACTTGAGTGGAGCTAGAGGTAAACTAGTAGTCTTCAACTTTCTAATGAATCGGGAGGGGGTAGGGACAGTTTTTTTTTTTTTTTTTTTTTTTTTTTTTTTAGAAAAAGCGACCTTGTCCAGCATGGGTAGGCGACTGTCTGTGGGTTCATTGTGCAAATAACAATTTGCCTTGTGCTATTACTTTCCTCTTATTCTAGCCTATTGTAATACAATTATCTGACATTACTGTATTTTATGCTGTTGAATACATTTGGTTCCACTGTAATAAATTGCATTTTAAATATATATTGATTCCTGTAATAATAATTCTTTATTTCGTGTTCTGTGATATTTATCAATCAGGATGAGCTGAGTGACCTGCAGCTGGATCTACTGGAAGTTGAGGATGCCTGTTTGCAGGTGTACCACACTCCACCCCCCTAAAAACCTGTACTGTACCCACTGCAGAGTTCAAAGCCCCACTACCTTTGCAGCTCAAAAGTCCTGCTCAGACAGCTACAGGGACAAAGCCATTGATTGCCTTGGCACCCAGCTGGACACGTCAATTGGTAGGATAATTAATATTTTATAATTCAATGGTTTTACGCGTTCTGTGTGATAAATGCAACAAATCTATATTTACTTTATAGGACACTGCTTCATCGTCCATGATGATGGCTACCTGCAGGCCAAAAAAAAGTCTAATCTTTGATGTAAGTAGCAAGCCAGGTTATCTATCCATGATAGGTAAAAAATATTATCAAAATAATTACACGCATTTTGATCATTCAGCTGACACTTATCTTGATCACCATGAAATGCAAAATAGAACAGTCAGATAATTGAATATTGAAAATCAATTTTCAAATGAAGACCAACACGTTCCACAAACAGGTGTATGCATCTGAAGGTGACATGAGAAACTAAACTTTTACATGTTGGTTTGTCATCAACAGGAAACACAACAAATTGATTATTCTGAAATGGATATCAGTTCAGCAACATCAGCCTTGGATATCAGCATGGCCTCAGAACCTGCCACTGATCCTGCTGACTCCAGTTTTGTCCTTGACACAAGCCCCTCCACCTCTACCACAGGAAGCACAGCAAGCATTCCGGGACAACATAGAGGATGGAAAGAGAGAAAGTGGTTGGTTAATGAGTCCAAACTCATGGAACTCTTCCAAAAATGCACTGTTTGTGGTGCTTCAATGTGTGATGTGAACCAAAATGTGAAAACATCTGGCAGCAGGATCAGAGTCCTATGGAAATGTAATAATGGACACACTGGAGATTGGGAATCATGCCCAACTGTCCGTGGAATGGCGGAGAACAACCTGCTAGCAGCAGCAGCAACACTCTTCACTGGTGGTACTTACACAGACATTGCTGATTGGGCAGGGCTTTTGAACATTCAGCTGCCCCATAAATCCAACTACTACAGCATACAGTCCAGCTACCTGATTCCAGTTATCGCTGAAGAATACAAGAAGCAGGAGGACACTATAAGAGCAAGACTCATCTGCCAGACTCTGGATGGTGAGGGAGTACAGATTTGCGGAGATGGGAGAAGTGATAGCCCAGGCCATTCCTGCAAATACACAACGTATTCCTTCATGGATGACTCCACCAATCAGATTGTAACATTTGAGTTGATTCAGGTGTGGTGAAGTGAGTGACTCGTTGCCACGCCATCCTCATTACGTATATGACCAATGGGGTGCCGCTCCTGGCGTATATAGACTCGTCGTTTATGCTCCCTGGGATGCGTCATTGCCGAAAGCCCGCCCTTGTCGTCATTCCATGAGATCGCAGAGGTATGTCGCTGTGCAGCTGGCTGTTTTGATTGTAGTATTGAAGTGACGTTGCATTATCTCTTTCGTTTAGTGTGACACTAGGCCATCAAGGCTGTGCGTGTTGTTGGAACGACATCCACATTTAGGTGAGTTTTAGTGTGGTGCCGTTGTAATCTTTTTGGGAAGTTTGTTTGAGTGATCCGCGATACATTTTTAGTGTGACGGAGTTTCCATTGGTGGGGCATCCCCTAATAGCCGTGTCGGAGCACCAGCTGTTGTGATTCGATTCACTAAAGGACGCCTCGTATGACTTTTGTGCGCCTGTGATTTACGTGTGTGTGCCGAGGCTAAAATCAGGGTGAGTACATGGTTTGTCGTCTTCATTGTAATTTTAATTGTTTTTAATTAGATGGTTAATGAATATTTGTGTTTAGGAGTTCTCTTTGTTCGCGTTAAAGTGAGGTTGAGTCGCCACCTTAACTGGCTGTCAGCAATCCTCGCGCTTTGAACCACGTCTGCTGCTTTGGGGAGCTGTTTTTGTGAGGAAGTCGAATTAATTACCGCTATAACCCCACCACGTCTGTCTCTTAGGCAGTTGTCTTTTGTGTGTGTAATTCGGATTGTCTTGTCACTAGTCCCTAGTGGCATTCTAGTCACTGTTTAATCCGGTGCTTGGATTGAGAGCTGCTAAATTCCCTCGGTCAGCGGTGTAATTTCTATGATCGATTGTGAGACGACTTGTGATTATGTTGTCTTGAATGTGTAACTTATTTGGTACGAATTATTTTCTTTTTCTTGGTTTCAATTGTGTTATAAATTGATTCTGTCTTTATTGTTTTCCTTGTTTTCTTTTTATTTCTTGTATTCCGCAGGTGCCGGGTGTCCCAGGAAGCACGCTGGTGGTTGCGGCTGCACGGGCTTTACATTAATTAGGGTTGTTTCACTGTGTGTTATCTTTTGATCACTATTTGCAGTGGAGTGTGATTCGTTCCAAATTGGGTTTCTTTTGGCCTTGTGCAGCTACAGCTAGCCTGTCTTTCAGGAGCCTTCGCACCAGTAGTATATTCTTTTCTTTATTTTGTTTCTGGATCAAGACCAGTTATTTGTATATTCTTTTCTTTATTTTGTTTCTGGATTAAGAACTAGTTATTGTGATTTTCTTGTTTAAATTGTTTTCTTTAATAAACTAATTGTCTAATTGTGAACTCACGCCTCCTGCCTCTCCTGAGCAAACGAACCTGTGTCCTTTCCTTTATTAGATTAGTTCCCCGGTACTCCGGGGTGGCGTAGTCGCTATTAGACGAGCCGCGCTTTGCTACACGTGGCGCAGTCGGCAGGATAGCACAGAATAGTTGGCGGAGACGTGAGTGATATATTTTTTTTCTCCTTTATTCTCTGTTTTGTTTTTGGTGTTTTGTTTTTTTTCTTTAGGAACAAAGCAGCAGACGTGTGCTCTGACGATCACAGTTTTTGGCTTGACCTCCTTCGGTATCATTTGTTCGGGGTGTGAGTTCTGCTAACTCGAGTAAGTACGTGTTATAAGAATGGAGGGAGAATTGCAAGAACTGAAAGAGCTTGTTGCTCAGCTTAGAGCTGACAATGAGCGATTGCGACAGGAAAGGGCATCTGAATTACAGGGGGTCAGTGTTGCGGGACCTAGTAACTCTGCCACAGTTACCGCTCCTATACTTCCATCAGCGACTGGTAATACTCCGGTGACTGATAGGTTTGTATTTGTACCTAGAGATAGAAGGTGTCCAAAATTTAGTGGGAGGACTGGGGTAAATATTGATGAATTTGTTGAGGAAGCTAAAGCTTGTATGAGGACCCGTCACTTATCCCCTGCGGATCAGGCTTTTTTTCTCTTTGATCACTTAGAGGGGGAAGCGCGAGAGGAGATCCGATATCGATCAGAGGAGGAGCGAGGGGACCCTGAGAAAATCATTAAGGCACTGCGTGAATTGTATGGATGTTCATTATCATATGTAGCCTTACAGGAAGCTTTCTTCTCAAGGAGGCAACAGGAGGGGGAAACGCTTTTGGAGTTCTCCCTCGCCTTGATGAGTCTCCTGGAGAAGGTAAAGCAACAGTCGCCAAACGTAATGGTAAATGCTGAAACATTGTTACGTGATCAATTTGTCGAATACGTCAATGACAGTATGTTGCGACGTGAGCTCAAACAGCTGGTGCGCCGACAGCCCAATTTTACTTTATTGGAGGTGAGGGATGAAGCCCTCCGATGGGAACAGGAAGGGGTGCCGGGGGGTGCAAGGGCCCGAAGTTCATCGGTCCCAGTGGCACATGGAATTCAGTATGGCGTTCGTGGAGATTCATGAGTGGGGGCTCGTAGTTCACCTCAGACGTCTGAGTTGGGTGAGTTAAGAGAAATGCTGAAAGCACAGCAAGAGCAGTTAGATCGCCTCACCCAAAGTTTCGCCCGAGGGCCAGGTCCAGAGATGCGTAATCGAGCTCCTCGTAGTGGGCCTGTCATCTGTAGAAGGTGCCAGAAACCAGGCCATTTTGCCCGTGAGTGCAATGGAGAGCGAGTTGTCCAACGTGCTCCGCATTCCGCCGTATCTATGGTTGGAGGTGGACAGTTATCTACTTTTGTGCCGTCGGAAAACTAGTGCCCACCGAGCTGCGGAGTCACAGCTTGGTTGGGGAGGCTACTGGCTCAGTTTCTTCTAAAGGTTCTCTTGCTGCGTCTAGTTTAATGTCATCCTGTCCTCATCTTGTTGTGTCCATAGGTGGAGTATCGGTGCCGTGCTTTGTTGACACCGGCTCGATGGTCTCCACCATTACGGAAAGCTGTTTTCAGCAACAATTTGCAACATGGGGACAGGAGCGACTTCAGTCATGTCATTGGTTACAGCTTCGCGCCGCCAATGGGTTTTCCATTCCTTTTATTGGTTACATGGAGCTGGATATTGAGCTTTGTGGCCAAGTCGTTTCCGATTGCGGGGTTCTTGTAGTTAGGGATCCTCCTGGTGGCTTGTGTGATCAGATTCCAGGGGTTCTCGGGATGAATGTTCTAAAGCGATGCTACCAGGAGCTCTTTAGTCAGCATGGCCCTGCTCTTTTTAACTGTATGTAATGCTCTACCCACGGTCTGTTATGGGTACGTTGAGTAGTGTGTATGTGATTAGTTTACCCACAGGTGTTACAGAGGTCCAGTCGGTCGTGGCATCGGTGGGGGCGCAGAGTGCGGAAGTAGGACCTACTGTGCAGGAGCAGGTAGAGGCCATAGATTTGTCAATGTTGCCAGAGGTAGAGCAGAGTCTGGTAAAGTCTTTACTCAGTAGGTTTCAAACAGTGTTCTCTACTCAGGAGGGGGATTTGGGTTGTACAAATTTAATTTCGCATGATATTCCTTTGGTAGATGAAACTCCTATTCGGCAGCGTTTCCGGCGGATACCTCCCTCGGAGTATGAAGTGGTGAAGGCCCACATAAATCAGTTACTCGAGGCTGAGATCATTCGAGAGAGCTCTAGTCCATATGCTTCGCCTATCGTGCTGGTTAAAAAAAAAGATGGGGGCCTACGCATGTGCGTTGACTACCGTCAGCTCAATGCCAGAACAAGGAAGGATGCGTTCCCCTTGCCCCGGATAGATGAGTCCCTTGATTCCCTGGGTGGTGCTTGTTGTTTTTCGACTCTCGATTTGGCCAGCGGGTATAATCAGGTTCCAGTCACAGAGAAAGATCGGTTTAAGACTGCTTTTTGTACACCGTTCGGACTCTTTGAGTGGAACCGGATGCCATTCGGCCTGTGTAATGCCCCTGGCACCTTTCAGAGGTTAATGGAGCGGCTGTTCGGGGATCAACAGGGTCAATCCTTGCTCTTGTACCTCGATGATGTGGTAGTATTCTCCACCTCTATAGCGCAACATCTGGAGCGTTTGGAGGTCGTTTTGAGTCGGTTAGAACGTGAAGGACTAAAGGTCAAGTTGAGTAAGTGTGCGTTTTTCCAAAGAGAGGTGAAGTATTTGGGCCACATTATCTCGGCTGAAGGGGTATCAACAGACCCTGCAAAGATCGATGCGGTTGCTGATTGGCAGATTCCAGCTAATGTGGCAGAGTTGCGCTCGTTTCTGGGTTTCGCCAGCTACTATCGGCGCTTTGTGGAGGGGTTTGCTAAATTAGCAGCCCCCCTACATAAGCTGGTTGCAGTGTGTACTGGTTCGGGACCCAGAAAGCGAGTGGATCAGGGGTTTGCTGGGGCCTGGACGGAGCAGTGTCAGGTGAGCTTTGAGGGTTTGAAGAATAAATTATCTACTTCCCCAGTGTTGGCGTATGCAGATTTTTCCCGGCCCTTTATCCTGGAGGTGGATGCTAGCCATAGTGGGCTTGGCGCCGTCCTCTCGCAGGAACAGGAAGGTAAGGTGCGCCCTATTGCTTATGCTAGCCACGGCTTGAGACCCACTGAGCGCAATATGACTAACTACAGTTCCATGAAATTGGAATTTGTGGCGCTCAAGTGGGCCATGACCGAGAAGTTTAGAGAGTACCTGTTGGGTCAGAAGTGCATCGTCTACACTGATAACAACCCCCTCAGCCACCTGACCTCTGCTAAACTGGGAGCTGCCGAGCAACGTTGGGCGGCCCAGTTGGCCGCCTTTGATTTTGAGATTCGGTATCGTTCTGGCAGGAGCAACCGAAATGCTGACGCTCTTTCTAGACAGAATCTGGGTTGTCAGGAGATTCGGGAAAGTTCCCGACCAGGGACCATAATTCCAGCCATGGTGAGGCAGGTAGCAGAGGCAGAACCAGTAATACAGGCGAATCAAGTGGTGATTACAGCATTGCCCAGTTTTTCTCTTGAGGACTTGAGTTTGTTACAAGAGGTGGACCCTGATATTCAGAAGGTGTTGGAGTTTTGGGAACAGGGTTCTTTTCCCACCCTGGCAGTACGACAGCAACTTCCCAAATCTGTTCTGACTTTGCTTCAGCAATGGGACCGTTTTCAAAGGAGAAATGGGGTCCTTTATCGACGGGTATCACGCCCTGATGGGGGTGAGGAAGTGTTACAATTGGTTTTGCCTGCAGCCCTAAAACCTGAGGTATTGACTGAGTTGCATCAACATCATGGGCACCAGGGTGTTGAACGTACGACTGAACTAGTGCGTCAGCGGTGTTATTGGCCAGGGATGTCGGCAGAAGTGGCACAGTGGTGTCGGGAATGCGAACGATGTCAGCTGGCTAAAGATATCCAACCAACCGCTCGGGGCTTTATGGGCCATGTTTTGGCTTCTAGGCCAAATGACATTCTGGCTATTGATTTTACCCTGCTTGAGCCTTCCAGTTCGGGACACGAGAATTTTTTGGTGCTAACTGACGTGTTCAGTAAATTTACTCTGGCTGTTCCCACTAGAGATCAGCGGGCTGAGACGGTGGTACAGGCTTTAGTGACTGAGTGGTTTTTTAGGTTCGGGGTCCCAGGTCGTATTCATTCCGACCAGGGACGGAATTTTGAGTCTGCTCTTATGAAACAACTCTGTAGGTTTTATGGGATCGAAAAATCTCGTACCACACCCTATCATCCAGCAGGCAACGGCCAGTGTGAACGGTTCAATAGAACTCTTCATAACCTTCTCCGCACTTTGCCGATCTCCCGTAAACGGGACTGGGTATCTTGGCTCCCACAGATTTTGTTTTGTTATAACACCACCCCTCACCAGAGTACGGGTGAGTCTCCACATCTCCTTATGTTTGGTCAGGAGCCCAGACTCCCCGTTGATTTCATGTTGGGGAGGGTTCAGGAATCTAGTGGGGGTGGGGTTCATGAGTGGATGGTAGAGCATCAAGCCAGGATGCAGGTGGCATTTGAAGGGGCACAAGGGCGTTTGAAGGCTGTGGCTGAACGCCGTAAGAGACTGTATGATCAACACGTTCGTGATGTACCACTGAGGGAGGGTCAGCTGGTGTATCTCCGGAATCATGGCGTGAGAGGTCGTCATAAAATCCAGGACCTGTGGAGCTCGGTGGTGTATCAGATCGTGAGAACTCCTGTAGATGGCGGGCCAGTGTATACTGTTGCACCTACGGACGATTTGAGTAAGATTCGGAATGTTCATCGTTCGTCTATGAGGACCCTCATACGACGAGAAGCCCCAAGAGTTGTTCATTCTGACATCCCTTTAACAGGGACACCACCATCATTGGGCGACGTAGAGGAAGTAGACCTTTGGGTGGCCGTGTCAGACGATTGGCAGGTTGGGTCAGGCCAAACCATGGCATTGCAACCTGCAACCGTAACTAGGTGCCAGCCATCAGCGTTATCGGTGACGCAGCAGACCCCAGCATCATTGCTTCCGGAGGTGGTGGAGCCACCTCCGGTAGTGTCTGCACCCTTTGTAATTGGTGAGTTGGCACCAGATGTTGATTTAGGCCTGGCAGGGGTGTCTGTTTCTCTCCCCTCTAACCAGCAAGGGGATAGTGTTAGAGCAGTACGAAGAACGAG